GTTGTTGAGAGTTTGTAATCGTAATTAATATGGAGTTCTCTCTAGTAGAGAAAGAGCGTACAGTAGAGCCCAGAAGGTTAATTAGATGAGCGCTAAGATTAGAGGGCTTTACTGAACTCAAAACGCAGTTTGCTTTCACCACTGAACGTATCATTGCTTTGCCATCAACCCACTACCTAGGGAAACACTAGACACAATGCCTACAGTCCATGTTTTACTTTTGATATAATGGTATCTTTTAGTTTGGTGCTAAACAACCAATATTTTACTACCCAAGTTTAGTTATCTTTTCCCACAACTTTATTTTTCGTCGGGAGAAAGTCGAAGTTATATATGAAAATTGTTCACGTGCTAGCCATCTATACACCCCCTACAATTTGGACAGTTTCACATCTGTATCTGTTGAGTAGGGAGATTGATTGTGAGCCCATAGCACTTAGGCCACATATGACATTGTACATCCTCCCGAGGAGTTGTCCTCCTAGGTCATCGTCCATCCTGTCCTTTCCAGGAAGGTGGGCAGGTCACTGGGAGACATCTCCTGCATATCGGCAGGTGTAGGCCAAGACTCGCCAAACGCACACTCTCTTATTGACGATAACTCCGGGCACTCGCATCGGACATGTCTGACAGTCTCATCCTGCATAGGGGTGTGTCCACTAGGAGGTGTTTCCTTAGTTGACAGTGGCCAGTCAGGAATCCTACAGTTAAGCGTAGATTTTTCCTGGTCATCACCAGATATTTCTTCGGCGCCAGCTTTCCAGGGTCGCCCAGGGTAATCCTGCCATTGAATCCTTTGATTTCATCCTCCCTCTTTGAGGATTGAGCATGGGTGTAACTTTTGGCTAGTTCCGCAATTGTCGAAGTCATCAGGCCGCAGGTGCCACTGGGCCCTAAAATTCTTAGTCCAGCCGCCTCCGTGGCTAAAGAGTCGGCAATGCGATTACTTTCACTCCTGTCGTGCCCTTCAATCCACATCATGATAATGTTATTATTTGCCGAGGCTTTGGCTAAATATTGGTAACACTCTGGTACTAGCCTTGAGGTTACATGTTGTCTGTTCAAGGCTAATAGGGCTTGTCTGCTGTCAGTGCAGATTGCTATGTTTTTGCCAGAAATTTCTTTCATGGTAATTTCTTTTGTGGCGATTGAGATACCAGCCAGTTCTGTTTGGACCACTCTGGTAGTTTTTCCCATTCCCCACTCAGTTTAATATTTTCCGAAATCCTTTTCTTTCGAAGTATAGGGTTGTTTAACAGGGACTTTGGCGTCTTATCTTTTGTCGTCGACCCCACGTCGACAAAAATCGCCGCTGTCTGTGAGGGTCTACAGCAGTGTTTCTCAAAGTGTGCGCCGCGGCGCCCTGGGGCGCCGTGGAACCTTTACTGGGGCGCCGTGGGCCACGGGTGAGTCTCAAGGTACACCATTTTACAACATAAATAACTGAGAGTAAAGGTAATACGTCGGTACCTATTAATAAAAATCATCTGATAATATGATAATATCGGTAATTGCAAAATGCAATCCGTTCAGACAGCCACCTACCTACTTTTATTAATTAAATATCTAGTGTAGTCTTCACGTTAGGGGCGCCGCGATAACCTTCAAAAAACATAAGGCAGCCGTGAATTCGATAAGTTTGAGAAACACTGGTCTACAGGCAGTGTATTTGGCGTCTCTCACAAGAAAGCGGCCTTCAGATGACCATAACATAACCATAACAATATGCCATTGGTCAAATTCAGCCTGATTTATGCGCCAGAGTCATGGAAAATTGGACGTTTCGGATGAGCTCCACAGAGAAGCCGTAGCGAACATTTGAACGATGTTATATTCCACACATAATGGCCTCAATAGGTCTCTCAAACGAATAAAACGTTTCGTTGTTTTATCTAAATGGAAGTTTGGCTCAGGTACGTGTTAATATCCTTAACTAAAGGAAGGCCCCCTGTGTAGGGGGCCTATGCGATATAAAGAAGATGGATGTTCCAAAGGGGTGCCAGTAAGAAGGTCACGTAGGGTCAGATTTAGCCTTTTATGTTTATTATGTGACTTACACCAATTCTTTTGAAGTTCGAAAACTTCTAGAACTGCCTAATTGAATCTTTCAATTTTAATCAGTATATTTTGAAAAACCTTGCAAGGTAATTTCTCAACTGTTTCTCATGTGTTGAAACTCACCTAACCTTCTTCTCTTTCCACATTCACAAGATGTCTTTTATTTTTTTGTGGGTCCATCGCTTTTGGGTTCTGGTATTATCTAGTTCATTGATACTCATAGTTTCATTTTTGAATGTACGACAAAATGTAGCAGACAGAATTTGTAAGTGAAACACCGAGAAACCTCCGTCTGAATTATGGTTTTCCATACACTGTTAACACATTATTAATCTCTTCCCTTTTGAAGAAACCAAATACTTTTCTTGATATTTCAGCTATTTGCGTTATAAATATCCGCCTTCAAAGTAGGCAAATGATGCAGATAACCGTCTGAAAGCTTCTCCGAGCAAAAGTTTGCTATGCGCCTCTGAGAATGTTGCGTTTCCTTCCCATTTACGAGGAACATAAAAGGTGCATTCTAAACGATATGATGGTCTCTCTCCTACATTTCAATTTACGACGATTGTTCAAAGTTCAACTTTTCTGACCATTATGTTGTTGAGTATTCTTTCATTTTNAGATATGTACAGTCGGTAGATTTGAACTTTCAAAAATATGATCCTTCAAGTCGCATTGATTTCAGGCACTTTGTAAAGACCAATTTTGATCATAATTTTGTATGTATGGACGCATACAAAATAAAAGATAAGGTAGGGATAGGAATACATATACCGCAAAGGAATATCCCAATTGGCGCACGACTTAATATGTAATGCAGAACTCATTGCAATTCACCAAGAAATGATGATGTGTTTAGAACATAATTTCAATGATAATGTTATACTCTCAGATTCCAAAAGTGCATTGGAAAAAATGTTGACAAGTATTTCAGCTCGCAGCGACTACATAAGTCCGACAATAAAACAAATGCCATATCTAGCATCACTGAATGGGGTTCTATTTAAATTTATTTGGATCCCCCGTCATTCTAAGATCGAGGGTAATGAAAAAGCACATGTAGTTACTGGTCAAAGTTGGCCTCTCAATATTCCACTGAATATCAAATTGAATAAACACTGGTTGTTGTCCATTTTCAAACAACGAAGAGAATATGATTTCCATCAGGTCTGGAAGCGGGATGTACAATTCAAAGGTAAATAGTATTACCAAGTTCATTCAGAGTACCCTAAAGACACCTAGTATCTTAAGTACCTTTATATGGATAGGCGACATATTACCATGATAATTCGAAAGAACACCTATTCAGGTTGAAGATTGTAGATCACCCTAACTGCGAATGTGGTGAAGTAGAATCGTTAAACCGCATATTCTTGGAATGACCGATCAATATGATCCCGAACAGAGACCTGTATAATGCTCTCATCCTCAAGGCCGGTGTCGTATGACAACCATTTTACATGGTTTGAATTTCTCGACATTAAAATTATTAACACATTTTATAGACCACAACAAACTCGAACTACTCATTTTACATTCATTCATTTTCACTCATGATCATTCTTTCCACTTCTCCTGTAGCACACGAAGATATACAGAAGAATCAGATGTCATAGAAGAACGACTTTATTCCAAGAAGCAATACGGATTACAGCATGATCATCGACTTAACAAAGCTGTAACCTCCCAAATTGAGCTGGCTAAATGTGCTATTCGGAAGCAAAGCCAAAAAAAACATAGAGAGAGAGAGAGAGAGAGAGATTATGAAGGAGCAGGCCATTCCATATTGCAGAGCTGCACAATTTTTGTTGATTCTAATTAACCAGTGAATTGTCGTATTTGTGAATTATGTGCCTATGAATAAAATAAATGATTGTCCTAGTCCCTAAGATATAATTACGAGTTCTGTGCAACCCCTTCATTCCTCTTTTTTTTGTTTTTTGGTTCGTGCTTCCTTGGTGGTAAAATCCTGTGAGTGACAGAGATGGATATTACGATTGTCTACGAAGCTCGAAGTATGAGATAGAGAGGGTAAGAGACTAAAAGATATTTTTTTCGAAACTGAAAAGACGAGTTCTTGAATTCATTTTCTGTTTTATATGTTGGATTCAGATATTGTTCCATTCGAAACGTTAGTGCGTTTCTATTTGTTGAAGCATTCCAGCAATATTTGTCTGTTGAAATTGAGAATTCGCTTATATTAGCACTTTATTCAATCAATGAAGCAACAGAGCATATATCCGAACCCACCTTTTGTATTGCATTCGAGTTGACGCCTGATCGAGCCTGATTTGAAGCAACGATTATGGACATACAGGATTGCTTACTTACATATATCCCCACGTTAAACAAGCTCCGAACAGATGTGACGTAACACTGGTGACACTTTTAGTAGCTGCCATAAGACTGTGTGTTATTTTAACATTTTTTGAGGATTATTTTTGGACAGTATTACATTGTTTTTGTTTATTTTGATTAAATTTTCATTTAACTATACCAATTAGGTTTCTGAAACATTGAGTTTGTTATTGTGAAAGTCGTATTTTTTTGTGCTTTTGGACATTTTTCAAACTGGTGTAACGAGTAGACGCCATATAAGACTCTGTTATTTTCTTCCGTTTTGAGGTTTGATTTTTGCCATTGTGGAACTTTTTTTTGTTTATTGAACATTTTTAAATTAAATTTAAAAATAATATTCTAATAAGGGATTTACATGAAATTTGTTTATTTTAATTTAAAAGTGCAGTACCGAATCAGTCACCGCTGTTACGTCACGAGGTCACGTGACGTGTCTAAAAAATCGCAAAAGTAAGCAATCCTGTATGTCCATAATCGTTGGATTTGAAGATGCAAACGGTTCATGGAACACTATGTCAATGAAGCAGAAAAACCACTTGCTCGATCTGACGTCAACTCTAATCTGACTGAAGAGATGTCAAATGTCAACCATCAAAATTATTTTCTTGTTTTTGTTTATTGAGAAGTTTTTCTCTTGATAAAATCTTGAAATGAAGCCAAAAAGAGTCTTCATGGATATCGACTTATATATTCATTTTCATAAACTATAGTTTACAACATGAAACCAACAACAAAATGGATATACTTAAAATCTTGTACAAATTTGTGGTTATAAGTATATTTTTTTCAATTCCATGTACTACTTCTGATTTAGATATTAAAGAAGTCGCAAGAAGTATCACTTTGGAATTGTCTTCGCTAAAAGATGATGAGTTGGGAGTGCCTTTCATTTTGGTAGGCATTTTTCACCTAGCTGCGATATTTGTTGAATCATAATTTTTTAGGACTTGTACAAAAATTACATGATGCAACCAATGCCTTTAGATTTTGCCAATGTAGTCAACACTATTGCTCAAAGGTTAGAAAAGAAAATAGAAAATATATTTTCCTTATTAGAAAATTCAAAGATAATGATGGATGTTCAACTTACTACTCAGAATATCACAAATATGTTTTCGACAGTAACCCCATGCTTCCGAAAGAGTTTCGAAGGGAATAAAAATGGCAGTCATGATGAAGTTGACAAAATTTCTGATCTTACATCTACTTCTGGTATGTTTACATTTTTTATTTTTCTATAATAATTGGTTTTAAGTTATATAAATTTTATTTAGCAAAACTGCTAATACAATACTAGCAATGTATTGGTCAATTATTTTGAAATTCAGTATGAAGAACAGCTTGAAAATTTTAAATTTGCCATAAACGTTAGTACGATATTATGGAACATTGACGATCTCTAGTAAAGAAACAGAGGTTTTGATAGAAAACCACTTTCCTGGAACTTGATAACAACAGACCTCCCGTCTTCAAGGGTGCTAAAGTCCAAAAAAAAAACGATTGGGAGGTCGTCAAGATGGTTATCACAGCAAGTCATTTCAGCCCTTCAAGTCTCCTGGAGAGGATGGTATATTTCCAGCTCTTCTTCAAAACAGACTGGGATAGATTTTACCTTTCCTTATAAAATTGTATAGAGCTAGTCTGGCGTGGAACTATATACCACCCAGTTGGTTGACAGCAAGGGTGGTATAAATACCTAAGTGGGACGGAAAGACCCACACCCTAAATCAGTAAGACCAATCAGCCTTACATTTTTCCTGTTGAAAGGACTTGAGAGGATACCGGACAGGCACATCAGGAAGGTGGCATTATGTGCAGTTCCCCTGAATAACCACCAGTATGCATATCAAACCAGCAAATCAACAGATTTAGCTGTTGCTGTATTTTTCGAAATTGAAGGAGCATTTGACAATGCACTACCTTAATCTATAGGATCATATCTGGCTAGGAAAGTCATAGAATTGACCATAACTGGCTGGATCTATGCCATGCTGGTAAACAGAACTGCAACTACGACTCTTCAAGGCGAAGCCATTAGTTTCAGGGTCACCAGAGGCTACCCTCAAGGCGGGGTACTATCTTCCCTTGTGTGGTCGCTCTTGATGGATAGTCTGCTTGATGCCTTCGACAAAAGAAAAGTAGATCTGAAAGCTTATGCAGATGACGTTGTCATCTTGGCAAGGTCCACGTTATGAAGGGTAGCTTGTAATATCCTCCAAAGCACGATGGACTTTGTTCACAGTTGGTACCTGAAGGAGCAGATGTCTGTCAACCCCAGCAAAACTGGGATAATCCCAAAAAAAAATAAAAATATTAACCGAAAATAACAATTTTATTAAAACAAAAAACTGAAATTACAAGGAAATAACACATAAGCTACAACCAGAAAATAAAAAATTGAAATATTAATAAAAGCTGAAAATTAAAAAATATTATTAACAAAAATGAAAAATAAAAATAAAAACAACAATTGAAATATTTCAGTTTTTTGTTTCAATAAAATTGTTATTTTCGATTAATCATTTTATTTTTTTCAGGGATTTCAAATCAATTTATATTATATTAGACAATAGAAGTCCGAACTGATGAAATACACCAAGAAACATTGTTAACCACCTTCAAACAAACGTGGGATAATCCCCTTCACTAGGAGGAGAAAATTGGACGATCTAACGCCACTTTCCTTCAGTGGTGAGGTCATTCCATCTGGAAAGGAGGTGGAAAAAGTTTTACACAAAGCCAGACTGTCCCTATGGTCATGTCAAAGGATTTGTGGTGAAATTTGGGGTTTTGGTCCCAAACATATCTATTGGATTTAAGTAATGATTGTCAGACCAATGATCACGTCTCAGGCAAAGCTCTCTGGCTTACAGAGACAGGCTTGTCTGGCCAACAGTTGAGATCCTTCTAGATCTACCTCCTTTTCACATTTTTCTGGGAAGAGAGGCTAGATGGACTGCATTTAGACTTGTGCATATTGCCAATTGCACACATCAATTTAATGCAGAGTACAACTGACTGCTAGTTGACACTGGAAGTCACATCATTCTGGGGATGACTTCTGACTTTATGCCTCCAACTGTCAACTACGAACTGCCTTATAAAGTACTGTTCTCGAGTAGAGGGGACTGGATCCTCCGGGAGAAGGAAATATTAAAAGCAGATAGTTGTTGGTTCACATATGGATCAAAAACACCTTCCGGTTCTGGTACAGGTGTTTTCATTCACAGACCCAAGACAGAGATATCAACCTGCCTAGGTAACCATTTTGACTGGTGTTACACTGGACATTGAAGTTAATTGAATTGACTATTAACTGCAACTGAAGTGGAAGTGAAGTCAATGAGCATCCAAAACACGTTTTTTCATACACAGCTCAATAACCAAAATTTGACCCTTTGTTTCTAGTGAGAAAGCCCAAATCAAGATTATCGTGTTTGGATAGTTTTCATGTTTCAGTTAATGAAACTAAGCACAATGGGAGCATATAAATATGATTGGCCTCATATGTTCTCCATTGTACCAAAATCAATAATAATTAGTTGAGATAATAATTTTCGGTAATTTTTCTAACAGTAATTTGGATAAATCCGTTTATTTTTAGATTTTGAATTTGATACTCAGTCTTTCAAAATTATCTCTTAGCATCAAGGAGAAATTCGTAAAGGCCGTTGACTTCATTTTTCAATATAGAAAAGTTTATTCGATTTATGATTATTTTTTGGAAATAGACTCCAAATTTTGTTTTTAAAAGAATATTTAGGATGCTCTACCAACGTTTTCAGGATTTAAATGTCCACTTAGAACTATAGAAATACTAATCTTCGTTTATATGGTACTCCTGCCACTCTTATGATTTCTCATTTCAAATGTCTCTGCAGATATTTCAACTGTCTATGACAAGATTATAACAAAAATATTTATTGACTGAAAAACAAGACAAATTGTTTGTTCTTTTAAAGGGTGTATAACCTTCCTTCAACTGAAAAATAAACAATGCTAAATCAGTAGAGAATCTCTTGAAATATAATGAAGAGAAAACTTTACCCTGAAAAGCTACTGCATAATATAAATCACTGAAGAGTCCAATTAGTAACTTGTATTCACAAATTTTGCTGACAAATTGAATAATCAATTGAAAAAATTAGGAAAGTTTCGTCCTATATGGAAATTTTCAGACGAATACAATAAACTGAAATAATTGATAACGTGAACTCTTATATTTCTTTACATCACTGTAGGTTATATCAGAGGTCCTTTGAGTACCTGGATTTTGTTTACCTGTGACAATGTGGGTACGCTAATTTGAAAACTAGCAAGTAAATATCGATATGGTCATTTAGTAGGTTACATCCACAATGCCTATGCTTATGAATTTCCAAGGATTCCAAATAATTGAGAGCAACTTTTCCTTGAATAGTGCAAAATTTCCATATCGTTTAGATTCGATAACTTGTGATTGTATCCCAAGGAATGGTTCGAAAATGTTGAATAATTTTACCTAGTCTGAAGGACCTTTCATGTTCAGCATAGCGTTTTGAGAAATTTCGGCCACATTGTCCCACATAAACACTATTACACTCCCGACACTTGAGCTTATAAACTCCAGATTTCTCCATCTTGTGGAATTGGCCGCGGTGGTAGTGCGCCCGACTCACGATTGGAAGACCGTGGGTTCGATTCCCGCCTCGACCAGATATTTTTCTTGAGAGAATTTATCTGGTTGAAGCTGGGATGATTCTGCAACCGAGTTAGGAATCACACGTTAAAAGGTAACTAACCTCGTTAGTTCTTAGCTCGCACAAGTTTCTCAATTTCGGAGAGTTGTCGTTCGTATGGGGGCGACAGCTGATTAACGAAAAAACAGATTTTTTTATCCATTTTATCTTTGGCATTAAAAAGAAAATTAGATAACCTGGCATGTGGTCTGAATGCCACTTCCAAATTGTTTTTGCTGATAATCCCGCAATGGTCTGTTTTTTTACCAAAATATATTGAAGTTACAAATTTCTTGATTTCTGATTGTTTGATCTGGGGTTATATTCATTTGTACGTAAATTTGAGGTTTTATTTTCAAAGTAACTTCTGGATTGTGTCTGTGTTGAAACCATTATTTTGTCCTATTTGTATAATTATTTTAATTTCTCTATCTAGATTGTTAGCAGACAAAGGTAACGAGAATGCTCTGTGTAGCATTCATGGGAAATGTTCCTCAATTTGGGTTATTACAGCAAATGCAAGTTTGAACAAAATAAAGTTGAGTTTAATTCATGAGTTTTTCAAGTTTACTTCGAAAAGTATTCAAATTGAGTTTAAAAAAGGAAAATTATCTTTATAAATCAACAATTAAGGCAAAATATAAAGTATACTTCAATACCACCTCCACAAGCCACATAAACAACAGTTGTTTTGTTATTTATTTATATAGAGGAAGATAGATTAGGTGCACAAAATGTCATATGTCATCCTTGTTTGTCTCATACAGGTAACAGATTCTTTGTCCTTTATTAGCTATAACCGATGTTGCCAAATGGTGAAACAGAAACGAATCCCTTTAAATGTTGAATGCATTATTTCATTATTCTTTTTTAAGTATTTAAATGATTTTTGAAAGAAAAAGGTTGAAATGATAAGTTCATTTTAGAATATGCTCCGCTATCCCCGATACTGTTATCCGTCTTATTTTTATATATTCCCGATTTTCATTTTATCTCACATCTAGTGGTCTTGAGGTTTCACTTCTACACCTTTTTCTGCAGGAACATGGTATTTTCAACTATATTTTCTGATTTAGTTTGTGCCAGAAAAAATCACAGTGTGGTAGTTCTAAAAGTTGTTCATAGCTCATAACAGATTAATCTCAATTTTTCAGAAAAACCAGGAACATAAGGTATGACGTTAGTTATGAGGTACATATGTTATTGGTGGGTTGGAGATTATTGTGGAATCTGCATATGTTGGTAATTGTTTTCACAAATTCATTGAGAGTTCTTTCTAAAAACTTGTTTCATGTGTCAGCAGAAATATAGCTGTTTTGCAATTCAATAGTTTTTCATAAGTGTATTTTTGGGTTTTGAAAAAGAAAAGGAAATATAATTTTTTCATTTGATGAATACGACAAGTTACAGTTGGACTCTTCGGTGGTTAATATTGAGCAATAACTATTTGGGGTGAACTTTTCGGTTTGCCTTTATTATACTTCAGCAGATTCTCCATTGATTTAGCATTGTTTATTTTTCAGAATGTGGATGGAAATGTGGATAAATAATTCGGTAGTGTTGAGTACTGTCATATTGTGTGTTAAACTTCGCTTTTCTCACTCCAGTAAAAAATATAGAGGAATACATTTTAAGACAACAAAAATATTTATAATTTTGGAACTATATAATCAACAATTATATGGTTCAATGTTTATTACAGTTCAATGTTTATTACAGTTTTAGAACAAATGGGGCAAAAACTATCAGTTGCTCAGGATGTGAAAAGACAGTATTTTATATCTGACTTGGAAGTGAAAAAATTAGGACATACTCCTTTCCTTTATTGCAATGGTTGTGACGAAACAATTGTTTGGGACAACTATATACAGAGAAACATTTATCAGAGAAGAAATGTTGTACTAGTGTTAGATATAGGAGGATCTGTCAAACCATCTCTTTTCCAGATCCTCAGATCTCTTGGTAAGTGAGCACGTTGTTGAAATGTTATTGACCAAAATATTCAATTCATCTGCTGAAATTTCACACCTACAATTATTTCTTGTGGAAATTGGTAACATTGGCAATCTATTGACCAGATGCAACTTATCATTTTGGGCAGTTATATTGACTTCAAACAAATCCAGAAAATAGTATCATGTATAAATGTATTTGAATGTTATCTATTTTTAAAATTCTGTTGATACCCAATCATTCTACTGGAGACAATGATGCACTGGAATGATGACACCTAAGTATTCCATATTGTTTATTTTGTTATTATATTATTCATGTTAAGGTTAGATATACAAATATATGTTTACTGGTATTCTTCTTCTTTTGTTCAGACATTAAGTTGGATATACATCCTGGATTAATATCCAATGACTGAGTAATCGGATATTAATTCAGGATGTATAAACCTCTAAAGAAGCTATCCAATCGCGCCAGCGAAACGTCACAAAAAATCCAAAAATCCACGGCCTTCAAACCCAGAAAATAGTGACACTGAAAAAAACATTGGCCGCAAAAGCTTTAACCATTTTGTCGTTTCTTACTCTTATAACATGAAAAAAAATGTATCGACCTTCTTTGGGTGTTTTCACCTTCCACAATCTGAAAAATATGGAAATTATAATGGAGAACTTTATACACATATTTTTCAGATTGTGGAAGGTGAAGATACCCAAAGAAGGTCGATAAAAACATATTTTCCTAGACAAAAAATTACTTTCCTTCAGTATTTATGAAAAAAGATACTACCTCAGCATTCATCTGTGCTTATTGAGGTATTTGTTATAATGGAAATAAATTTATCATTGGTCTTCTATAAATATATTCAATAGTCAGGAAATTTCTTTAAAAAATAAGTTTGGTAACACCTAAATCATATTATTTTATTATAAATTGCATCTATTTGCTTAATATTTCTGAATTATGAATTATGGAATGTGATGTTATTCAATTTTTTTTTCTGATCAAAATGCTCAGTATTTGATCAACATCGTAATCTAATTTGTTTCAGCCAAGAAGATTATATCAGTATTAACCAGTGATGACCGAATTGCATTTATGACAATAAGTTCAAATTATTCATTTATTGACAATGATTGTGGTAGAATGAAGGATCAAGATATTACGAGTACCATTCCAAGACTGATGGCAGCAAACTCCTCTTACTTGAAAATTTTGAATAACTATATTGATGCTATCGTTAGTGAATCTGGTGAGTTTTGACCAAAAAACTTTCAGTGTAAAACAATGAGAAACAAGGAAATTTGTTGAGAGAAAAAAGCAATTCTTCTATTGATAGTTAATTGAAGTCTATAGAATTGTTCTGTAGCCAAATAATTAACTGAAAAAATATTTGAAATAAACCCAATCCATTATTTGAAGCATATATCAAAAGAAATTCCTTTCAGTTATTCAAGCAATTCCTTTCAGTTATTCACCCACTATCCGGAAATGAAATAAGGAAAATCATTTTGGGCATGAAAAATAAAGACTCTTCAAGACTGGATGATATTTCGTTCAAAAAATTTTTTGTTTACCTTAACAAGTATTGGGAATTTTGAGTAAAGCTAGTGATCCTACCTGAAAACTCTCTTTATTGTTCATTAAAACTCTTCAAGTGGTATACAGAATAATATCATGAATGCAGAAATGTTCATAAGGTTTCTATGAAAGACTTAAAAATGATACATATATTATTTGACTTCAAGTGAATTATTACAGTAATTTTTCACTTGATGAAAAAGAAAAAAAAAATATAATGAGAATGGGAAATGAGTAATAATAATAAAGAAGGAGCATTCATTCATTAATTACAAAAGATCTCAATTTCAGAATATTACATTGTATGATGTTATGCAAAGTAATATTTTTGAGTGCATGGATCCTAAAGTCTAAACTATTCAAATATGTAAAGTTGGGAGGTTTCATATATTGAAAGATTGGGCATTCTAATATTATGTGTTGGATCGGTTCCAAAGAGCTGTAATTACAGATGGTACATATTTCATTTGGATTAATATGATGAGTAGAGTCATTTAGGCAGAATTTTATCATAAATTTGTTGCAAGTCGTCAGTTGGGCTATAGTTCTGATTATCTTGGGAAAATTTAGTTGGAGATAATTTTGCCGTAATCTTAATGTTTGTTTGAAGGTGATTGACAATGTTTCGTGATGAATTTCACTAGTTCGGACTTCCATTGTCTATTGTATAAAATGATTTGAAATCCCTGAAACAAGTAAAAAAGAATAATTAAAAAAGAGTAGTTGAAAATAACAATTATATTAAGCAACAATAAACCTGAAATGCAATGATAGTNTTCAGAAGTGAAAAAATCACCTTTGAGCAAGGCAGAGTTGAACTTTTAACTTAAAATGAAAAATCTAAAATAAAAACCTATAGTTTCTTGGTAATTTTGAAAACTTTATGGAACTCTAAGCTTTCATAATAACACAAAAAATTGATATCTAATAGGCTATTATTTGATGAAACTGGCCTTTGAAAGTGCTAAGGTTGAAATTGTCTAAGTTGGTTATTTTATGTGAAACAAATTATTATTTCCATTTCGTCATTCCTAAAGCTAATTCAATTGAGAAAAACCTCCAGCCTACCAAAAATAAATCAAAATATTCGTATAATCTGTAGCGAACATCGTTTCCAACTTTATCCAAATTTAATGAGAAATTGTTCAAAAAAACAACGCCATATTTCATTGACATGAATTATTTCTTCATTCTAACCAGTTTGGGTTCAGAACACCAAAGTGCACAAATAATGCAATATGTTTCTTTGTAAATAAACTTTATTTTCATTTGAAGGATGGTAAGGCTGCAGCTGCTGTTATATGATGTGACAAAGGCATTTGATTGTGTCAGTCATGAATTATTGCAAAAAAACTCCCTATTTATGGATTTAGGAGTAATGTTTGATCGTGGTATGATTTATATTCATCAGACTGTGTTCAGATGGTAAACTTAAAAAAAAGCATAAAAAACGAAAATCGAATGGGAAATACCTCAGGAACCTGTCCTCTGTCCAAAACACATTCATTAGGTGAAATATAATTTGAAATGTACCTTTATGTTAAATATGTAACTTCAATACATCCAAGTAATTTCACTATATTCAACTCTGGCGATTTGGTATTTTATTTTCTAACCTTTTTTCATAAAACTCATTTCTAAAATTCATGAAGTAAAGTACTGATAATTCATATGTTAACCATATTCGTTAAGTTTCAACAACATTTCTAGGCAGATCTGACATTATCAAATACTAATTACCTATTTATTTCGTTTAATAAAACTTGATAAAACATAATGTTTACAATCTTATTTCTTCCAGATTTTACAATTTCATTTACGAAAGGTTGGAAAACAAATGATTACTTTTTCATGCTTGGAACAGATATTCGATTTTCACATTTAGCGGAGGATTTGATGAATTATAGTGGCAATCAGGACTATTCCTATGTATTCATGATTGCTAAAGATGGTTCGATAGTCTTCCACCCCTATTATTCCCAATCAATTGACAATGCTCAATTTGCATTACCTGTAAATTTGGAAAGTCTTGAAAAAACAGAAGACGTAACATTGCTGAAGAGAAAACTTCTCACGGAGAAAAGTGGAATGCATGAGACTCGTAAGGATAATCAAACGGATTTGGTAAGTCTTGAAAATTCAAATATCTGTTTCTCAATTCACAGGTTGAATATACAGGAGAGTAATTAATTTCATCTTTCAGATTCAATACTACTGGAGTGCAGTCAGTGACTGGTACATTGTTTGTGTGGTAGTAAATACAAAATTTGGCCCTCCAAGCAATTCATATAGATCCATAAGGTCGCAGAATGAATTTTTTACACTCTTTCCTGCTATCACCATGATACTTCACTTACACGAAATTATAGGTTTTGATATTTATTTATATTTTGTTTTGATTCATTTATTTTCGGTAGGCTTGAGGTATTTCTTGAAAATTAGACTCTGCCTTGATCAAACGTGAATTTTTCATTACATGGGATATTTTTCGATACCTCTTGATGTGTGGAATCCAATTTTTATTTTTTGATGTCATAATTTGGACCACCGTGTATAACAATACTCAATTGGAATGCCCTAAATCTTGATGTTGGCGAGAAAACCTCTCCATAAATCCGCTCTTGGGTGTACTGATCTTGAGTATGTGAGTAATTCATTCCAGGCTGCACCGCTTCCTAAGTTTTTAACGCATCAGGAGATGGAGAACTGATGAGCTCTTATTCTTCATTCGATATTGCAGAGCGGTCAGTTGACATCATTTAGTCTATGCCCATTTCCTTTGTAGACTCAGGGTTGGATTCTTTGGTTACTTTAGGGTCCATTAAGGGTTTCACATGTAGCTGCATCACAGCAGAAACCCGCATTACTGAGACCAGGGGCTGATGGGCTCAGAGCCATTTTTTGAGCACAGATACACACACCTTAGGATGAAACCATCATAAGATATCATTCGGTTAGGGGACATCAGCACCACTAGTGATCCTTTTGTTTCCATATCTGTAAACTTCGTTTAAATATATCCTGTTCCAAAAAAAGGATTGCAATATGTACATATTCATTCCAGACATATCACTTATGGAAGATTTAAGTGAAATTTATTTTATGCAGGAAGGGGCCGTTCAAGTATTACGTAAGCACTTCAGGGGGCGGGGGCTCATTGCTTTGCTAGATGGTGATTTCGTCAACAGTAGTTATTTACTTTTTTACAAATATGGCAAACCCACACATTGTCCATGAAAAATGCATATAAAAATGTTTACGTAAGGATGGGAGGGGGACGTAAGAGCTTCGTTTATTTTTGCTGACAAGGGGGATGGGGTGGGTAAATAATTTTAATAAATATGCTTGCGTAATATTTGAACGGCCTCGAAGTAATATGAACACAGTATACAAAACAACATAAAGGTAAAAATAGAAATTCTGTCATCATGCCGATAAAAATGATTTCAATAGTTTTTCACGTAATCCTTGAATTTGAAAATCTTCCGTTTAGCTCACACAGGTTTTGACTTTTGAGGTTGTCGTTCATATGGTGACAATTACTGGTTACCAGAAAAAAATTATTTCAACCCATTTTCTACCTAAATAAACTCAAACGATTGAGATATATCCATGAAGAAGACCATTTGGTAAAAGGGAGAGGTGGAAGTGATAAAGATAAAAATGTAAAATACCGTTGAACTTGATCAAAATTAATTGATGACTTTTTGATAATGTATATCAGAGCATGGAAAAGAGTATCATAAGATGCTCCTTCACAAAATATTTCGAAGCATGACGTTATAGTGGAATACAGTATCTTTGTTTTTCTCTTCCAGATGTTTCTTCACTGTACCTGAGTCCCTCCTGTTTTCAATCACCGTACACAGCTCAACATAAAATGAACTCACATAGTTTCATACCCTATTTGAAGGATACCAGCAGAACTTCTGTTAATCCAGGCCTAAAAGAAAACATCAGATCTGATGTTTCGTTAGTATATCAAGTGCTGAAGCTCCTCAAAGAACGCCATATGTTATCCCCCACATCCAACTACATAGTGCGAAGATATGCTTCATCAAATTCTGGTGTGTTTCAGATGTTTCCAGGCAGTGTACTGAAACCCGGTTGGACACCTGTGAAAAACCCTTGGTACTACAAAGCCTGGCAACATGAAGGAAAGGTTGTTCTGATCCCACCACACTCAGACAGAGGAGGTGCAGGTCATGTAGTAACAGTGGCTTATGCCACATCTCAGCTAGTTGTTGCTATGGATATTACTTATGGTTATATGTTAAAGCTCCTTGTGAAGCATGTCCCTAGTTGCTTGAAAGAAAATATCACTTGCTTCATTGTTGACGATGAAGGCTATGTTATTTATCACCCCGATTTGAGAAACCAAGATGGGGCAAAGCCTGTGGAGCATCAACACATTGTTCACAAGGAATCCCTGGTCTCAAACGACATATTGAATCACAAGTACTTTATGAAAAAGCTTCTTTGTAATAGTTATGGAGACAACACCATCCAGAGGTATTACAAACTGAATACTAGCTACACTGATGTACTAGTCAATTTCGTTCCAGGAGAACATTGTGTAACATATCAAGTCACCAGCGTGCCAGACACAAACATCTTTGTTGGTATAGTTAATACTTCCTGCAATTTCGGGGCTACATTTTGCCCTTGTAGTATAGTTGATCGTTTATGCTTAAACTGTAACCGCATGGAGCAGAAGGAGTGTGAGTGTCCCTGCGAATGCCCCCTAGATAGGGGCGAGTTTTGCGATGCAAACCTTGCCAACTGGAACAGAACTAATAATCTACCTTGTAGGAGATATGAAGAGGATTCATTGGATAGTAGTTTCATTGTTAACACAAAAACTATTCTAGAACCCTGTTTTCCAATCAGATGTTATGCTCAAAAGTCTCACATGGACTGTTTGGGACTTCTAGGATGTGAATGGTGCACATACGATGCAGATAGGAATTATCTCAGAGATCCATTTTGTGCCGAACTCACCACCTGCTTGAATGGGGTATATGATGCTTCTGAAATATATGTTAGGCGCATCCCAAGCTCAGACTTTCCCTCGGTTGTACCAATTCTGGGCTCCATAGTTGCCATCACAATTGTTTTTGTTCTATTGTTGATCTGTTACCGTTCCTACACTCATAGAGTATCGGAGAGGTTTTACATATCGTCTACACAGGACCAGTTGAGAATGAGTGACCTGAATATCACAGACAACTTTCATGATTTGGGTAATCACAGAGACAAGCTTTTGCAGGAGGAACACCCTAATGTGATATCCCCCTATTGTGTAGCTAGCACTTATAGGAGGCCTGTAGTACCAGCTGATTCAGACCATGGGTATTCCACCATGACTCCGCATGATGAGTCAGAACATATGTCCCTGGCTCCTGTTGAGATCGAGTCTCTCGAAGATGAAACAACATCTGACAATACATCTGTGCACATAAATGCCTCGGTTAAGGAGGTTCCAGGAATGTTTTCTCCTATGTTTACTAGAATTCCTCAGAAAAATTGTATAACTGTACCTGTAACAGTGCATAGGCATATGGAGAAAACCTGACCAAGAATATTTCTTTAACAACTTGATACTATTATTAACGCAAATTTGTATTTGCTGTGAGTTGATATGATTCTCTCAAGAAAAAATTGTTTTGATGGTTTACAGATGTGACTTGAATTATTGAAATTTCAAATGAAACAGGCAAATTATAGTGCTATAGCCCTTAAAAATTGCTCCAGAGCTGAAAATCGATTTAATCCCTCTTGGGAGTCCTGAATAATGGATATATGAGTTGGCTACGGTTTCTAGTTGTGTTTCAGATTTGAGGACGTAAAACCCGCGAATTTTTCGTACTTCTTTCAGTTTTTCGTGTATAACCTGAAAAGTACACATCCTACAGCAAATGTCACACTTTTTGTATTTGAGGAGCATTAAATTTCGCGTCGTATAATGTTCATGACATTGGAATGGTCCAGGCGCAGTCGCCCGTCAAAGATAGGTGATTTTTACCAACTTCACTAAAAAATTGACAACTCTCAATTTCTAACACCTATAGGTTGAAAATGAGTGCTCCAATTGAAAAATATCATAGAAACAAAGTTTACGTAAATTCAATACTAAATTGGATGATTTTTGAAATTTGCTCACACCAGATATGAATTTTAAACCAAAAAAGGTCGTAGCGCCAAGTTTCCGCCAAAGTAGTCCGTAGGAAACTCCGTCTGAATTCAAAACTATTTACTTAATCAACTTAATTTGAACTCAAAATCATTACGTCAAGAGCTGATTACATAGGTAACTATAGTTCCCAATCATTCATTAATCAGGTACCAGAAGATCTCAGCACAATTGTACAGGGGAGAGAAAATGAGAACGATAGTTGATCATTTGAGCAAGGCAATAATTACTAATTAAAAGATTCATTACAATTAGGAGGGGTTTAATCACGTGGGTTATTATAATTGAGATGGGGCAGAGGCGTATTGCCCGTAAGGCAAACTAGAACCGTGTCTAGGGGCGCGTGCTATCATCCGAAGTCAGTAGTCATTAAAAACTGTGTGCTAGAGGGGCGCCTGTGAGGTGCTTGCCTAGGGCGCTCTCCATGTTTAATCCACCTCTGAGATGGAGTTATTACAATTTAGAGGGTATTGTGACAGCCGTCATTTCTTGCTTGCTTGCCACATCCTGTAGGCAATAAATAGATTTGTTTTATTACTGATTATCAGAAATTACTGTACTATAAATTATGAATCACAATAATTTCCATCAATTTCATCTTTTTTCAGCTGGTCCGGCTTGTTCGTGGGAGACAATTAACTGATAGTTCAAGTTAGTAAAAATCCCCTATTATTGACGGGTGGTTGCGGGTGATCCGATTTCGATGCTTCAAAGGCCATTTGACGCGAAATTTAATGCTCTTCAAAAAAACAAACAATGGCATTTTCTGTAGGATGCGAACTTTTCGAGTTATATGAAACTATAAAAAGTGCGATAATTTTGCGATTTTCAGGCTTTCAAATCTGAAGCACAACCTAAAAACTGTCGCAAACTCATCTACCAGTTGTTCAGGACCTCCAAAGGGGAATTAAAACGATTTCCAGCTCTCGAGAAAATTTTTAGGGGCTTAAGCTGTTTTTTGCACTAACTTTCCTGGGCTAAATATCCATTCTATCTAAATAAGAGTTGAACAATGTTCTAATTCAGGGATCTTCCATTTGATTGTTATATAATGTTGTGTGATAGATCACAATTTTTTGAGTTCAATTTACAGCAAAAACATTTATGAACATGTTTGTAAGTAATACATGGAGGTTAATCCTTATAAAGTAGATATTTATTGCTTTGTATGTATGTATGTAAATTTGTATAATCTTCTATTTGATAATGTACACACTACCAAAATTGTATTTTTGTAAATATTTTTGTAATTGTGAATATAGTTGTTATAATTTTTTTTTTCATTATTAGGGGTTGAAGAAACATCTTTTTTTCACCAGTAATGTAATGTGTTCCTAGAAGCACTCCAAAATAAATCTTCGTCTGAAGCAAGGTCTGTATTAGCTACAGTGAAGTAGTAACAGTTTCATCTCATGAACAAAGTCCCAAGCAAGGAAGAGGTATCCCGAGTACCGAAACGCTAACATAAATCAAAAGTGGTATTACCCAGGGAAGTATTTGTTTTTTTAGAGAGCATTTGCCAGATCCTACTGTGTAAGTGCATTGGGAAAAGTGACTGTGTTTGTTTCGAAGTTCATATTCCATGTAGTATTTTCTTAGTAAATTTGTGAATGGATACATGTACGAGAATTCATGGAATGCTGCATTGAAACTTACAAGTAAACATAAAACTATTGAAATTATAGGTTAGGTGCTCAACTTGTTTTATCTGAGTGTTCCTTCTGCTCTCTACCATTTGAAATTTCAAACCTTCACAATTCATTTGATTCAACACACAGAAAACAAACTACTTACAGTATTATAGGATGAATTGAAAAATAAACATAAACAATCATACAAGCACGTACAGTAAAAATGTATCTTGGAAACCTGTCTTATCAATAAAAATTATTTTAGTGAATAATTAAATCAAACTTTAGATACTTCAAATAATGAGGGATGAAAACTGTAGTAGCACCAGCGCAGCATTGTCATGTAATAACTGAAGAGATCTAACCTTATAGTCAATTGAATGTTTTTTTCGTTATACATATATACATAAAATAAATCGATTCCTTCAAGATCTCGATTCCTAGGATTCCCTTCAAACTAACTTTACTCTGGATTAGATAACTTTTCATCGGTTTAGATATCAGGAACTATGACGGCTTAACAAGCAATATTGGTGAGATATTGTCGATATGGGATTTGGCGGTAATAAGTTGTGGTAGTACAAAGGCCAATTTTTAACCTTCCAGTACTCGCGCCAAGTCTCACAAACCCAACACTTCAATTTTGCAGACGCAATCTGTAGCGCAATAAGAGTGGGGGTTGCTACATCGTATAGCTTCCTACTTTTAGACATAGTTTCACACGTCGAAGCGTGGAGTAGGGTGACAATCGAATATTTTGTATAACTCGATATAAAGTCTGTTAGACCCGGCGCGAGTGGTGACGCAACTGTTGCTGAACTTTAAATATTGTGGTTTGTTTAGTAATAAAAGGTAATCTACAGCAATTCTTAGAGACATTTGGTCATAAAAATTGTAATTAATATTTTAGATGGATTATGAAAGAGAGCAGGAACGTTTACTTCGACTGCTTGAAGAAGTAGATGTAGAAGAAGAGTATGTGGATGATGAATCGGACTTGGAGGACAATGCCATCGAGGAAAGGTTTGAAAACACCAATACGGAACAATCTTGTGATGAAGACGACGGTGAAATTCAAACTCCAAAAAGACAACCTCGACTGCCCTGTTTTATCGGCAAAGATGGGCAAACGGTGTGGAAGAAACATGTTCACAACAAGAAAATTAGAACACGACGATCTAACATAGTTATTCACCTTCGAGGTGTTAGACCTGCAGGAAAAATGCAAAGTCTCCAGTGGAATGTTGGGGATTATTTTTTTTTCTGTTGAAGTTTTAGAATGTCGAAAATACTAACAAGACAATCAATTCCGTATCCATGTCCAAAAAGCGATTTTTGTTTTTGCTATGATACTTGCGTTTTGACTATAAAAATACAAGAGAAGAGCAACAAGTTATCAACAAATTGGCCTTATACGATATCGTGGTGGAAAATTATAAAAGAAACTACACGCTTAGCTTGTACGCAACAATTGATGAAAGGTTGGAAGCGTTTAGGGGACGGTGCGGATTCAAAATGTACATCCCAAATAAGCCCAACAAATATGGAATTAAAATATTTGCGCTGGTAGATTCAAAAACATTGTACACACAAAATTTTATGTTTATGTTGGACAGCAACCAGCTGGGCCTTATTGTATGCAAAATGATACTTGTAGTGTTGTTGATAGACTAGTTGCTCTTATTTCAGGCACTGGTCGCAACGTAACATGCGATAATTGGTTTACGTCATTTTCCTTATTGAAAAACTGAAAAAAATCACAATTTGACGGTTGTTGGAACGGTCAGGAAAAATAAGAGAGCATTGCCCATTGAGTTTGTGAATACGAAATATCGACCAGCTACATCAAGTCTCTTTGGCTATCAAGAGGACTGTACTATTGTTTCTTATGTACCTAAAAAGGATAAAAATGTCATTCTAGCATGCACCATGACGAAACTATAAATTATAAAACTAGGGATCAACACAAACCTGAAATTATCACTTTCTACAACTCTACCAAGGGCGGAGTTGATACTGTAAACAAACTTTGCGCTACCTATGATGTAGCTCGAAATACACGTCGTTGGCCCTTGGTAATTTTTTTTGCCCTAATGAATGTATCTGGAATAAATGCCCAAATAGTTTATACCGCCAACAATAAGCACGAGAAATGCATCAGAAGAATATTTCTAAAGGAATTGGCGTTAACATTGACTGATGACCATCTAAAACGTCGATCCCAATTTTCAAATTTACCCCGAGAGGTACGTCAAAGAAGACACGAGGTGGCCGGTACAAATTCCTTAGTCGTCGGAGGAGCTCTAGAAACACCTGGTAAGAGAAAAAGATGCGACTTTTGTCAGAAAGACAACAAAACAAAATACAGGTGTCAAATATGCACGAAATGTATTTGCCGAACACATGCGAAGACTCTCTGCTCTGTGTGTGTGAATCGAAATGAAAATGATCAATGAATCACTAAATTAGAGTATTCTGGGATTGGAGAAAATGTTTCATTTTGTCGGTCGGTAGCCAAGCGGTTCGGCGTGGGTGCTTTGTTCACTCACTCGAATTGACTGCCGTGTTGGTCGATGGTTCAAGCCCTAGTCTGAACGATCGATCTTCACTTGCTATCGTCCAACCCGTGTTAGGAATCACACGTTAAAAGGTAAGACCTCGTTAATCCTTAGCTCGCACAAGTTTAGACTTCTGAGGGTTGTCGTTCGTAGGGGTGCGACAGCTGGTTCACGGAAAAACATATTTTGAAAAGATTATTGTCAATTATCGTAAAATTAGTGTGATTTTTTTAATTTAATATTTTTGTCAACCATAATTTCTATATTTTTTCGGAAATAAAGTTTTTTATAATTAACACGATGAAAAACTTATTCTGATCACCCTGATCTGGAATAATCAAACATCATGTTCAACCAGAGTTGAGCACAAAAAAAAAGGTACTGATAAAAAATATATATAAAACTCACGGGTCTCGTAGACCCAGCGCGAGTTCTGGAATAGGGCGCGAGCACTGGAAGGTTAATTGAACACAAAGATAAGTAAGAACGAAATTAATGTTATTCAACTTCATATTGATAACCTTAACTCCTACCTTCTGTATCAGAAGGGCATTCAAACAGGTTATTCATCGAAAAAATAGAAATTACACCTCCAAAAATATTTCCTTTGATCTTGAATTGAGTCACCTGCTTTTTTCGCGGTTTGAAGTAAATGGACAAATTCATTCAGAAACATGGTGGACAAATAAAAGGGAAAACGTTATGAAGAAGTAACTTCAACTTTCACTAAAGGTTACACGAAACTGATCAACGAAAACAACCAATCTGTCTTTGAGAATTCATATACCCAGAGACTCAATAACAAAGTCGTTTAGTCAAATCTGATTTTGTGCATCTTTAAAAATGTGCTTTTGTTGAAAGCTAGTGTTACGAGATATGTGCAATTGTCGTTAGTATCTGAACTATTATAAAGCGTAGTATTCAATGTTTGAGGTTTGACTGAAGATGTGTTCAATCCAGGAAAGTTTTATAAAGGTCATCACAAGTATATTTTCTTAGGTGGACTTGTTGACAATTACAATAAGAATAAGGCTGACTTTTTTATCAAACTTAATAAATGAATGCGTTTCTGAAGTCCAACTGCTCAAATTCAAATTTTTTACAGCAGTGAGACATAAAAGTGAAGTGATATATTTGAGTGTACTTGTATATTTAGGTAATACAGTTTTGTCCAGAATAATAGGTATTGTAGGTATAATTGTATTTATTTTATTATTACTTTGAAATAAATGTGACATATTTACATTTTTATATAATTAAAGAAATTATGAAACAACAATAAAAATTAATTGGCGCTCCGGGGCGACTTCATTCATTCCAGTAGCGTATTTGCTTTTTCAGCTGCAGGAAAACATCACATCATCTGAAGATCTTGATCTGCCAATGTCCTCTCTCATTAAACAAAATGTAGGGTGTCTCCAGAGGCTCCAATAGATTCAATACATCGCCAGAACACTTCGTGACACGACTATCGTCAAACTTAAACCAGTCCGTTTTGTCTTTGACCAAGGCATAATAATGACCAAATTCAATGCCAGAACCACAGTGAACAATGACTGCATGAATATTATAATAGTGGTCTGCTAGATTGAAGTGTTCACCTGTTTCGAACCTTCGTAAGAGTTTGGTGCTTACGTCAGAGGTTGCGTCATGTTTGAAGATCATCAGTGTTATTATCAGATTGACTGGTGCCTCAGCTATACTTGTTTCCTTATAACATTCAGTTAGTTTGGCGCATGTTTGGCAATATAGTCGATCATCACCTGTTGAAAGTTCCATTTTCAGATTATTTAACAATAAGTTTTGCACGGACTGGTTATTAGTCATATTAGGAAACGCTAGTTGAAGTTCCAGAAATTCACATTCGTTTTTGCTCCCTCTTGAACATTTACCACAAAGTAAACAAGTGAGGATTTTTCCAGCAAAAGATTTACAATACAAGACGAGATAGACTGTACGGAATAATTCAATCCAGGGTGGTCAGCATTTGAGTACTGGAAATTTTGAGGAAAGAAAAAATTTAACTTAAAAAGTTCAGTAGACATGAAAATTTTTTGAACCTGCTGAAAAAGACAGATCAACAACAATCAAAAATCTGCCGAAACGTCCTCGACTTTTTTTTAATAATCTTTGCTCCTTCCAAAAACACAGATTTTCATAAAAATATAAAAAAAATCGAAATTTTGAAGAATTGGAACCTACGTTATACGAACTTTTTGATTGAAAATTGCATTTTCTATCATTACTTTGAGCTCGATCCATGACTTAGGGGACACCCTGTATATTAACATTCTATCTGAATTAAATCTAATGGAAAATTTATTTCTAGCGCTTTCATTTATGACACTGTTAGAGTAATCAATACTGAAAGACTTATTGGTCTATTGAATACAGGGTGAGCTATCGAAAATGTACCGTAAGACATAACTTCGAGGGAAAAAATGTTCACAAAAATACGTTAAGTTTAATTGTGAGAACGGAATGTTTCTTCCCCAAAAATCATTGCAACACTCCTTTTTTTCAAATGAAAATGGCGGTAGAACGATACCTTATTCATTTGACTTTGAATTTGGTGTACGCAAAATGGTATGTATTTCAATCACTTTCGAATATAGTATAATCTGACCTTACATTCTGTTTTTGAAACTAAAGATCTAGGTGTGATCCTAGACTCCACACTTAGTTATACATGACACATTCAGAAATCCACGAAGATACTTGACTTTATAAAGAGAACCAACTGCGAGTTTACTAACATCACTGCTATTAAAACTATTCATTTTTCCCTGGTTAGAATCTCGATTATTATTCCAGTTTGGTCCCCCCATTACGTTACACATAAAGTGAAACTCAAGGCTGTACAGCACAATTTCCTGAGATGTATTGCTTTCAACATGCATGTATTCTATGACTGTTGCATTGGAACGCATACTGAACATACCTTCTCTCAAGACACGTAGAAGACATGATACTTGTATCAAAGGATCGAGTACTAGCCCCGAACTTCTCTACAAATTATCTCTACTTGACCTCAGTCGTTCAACTAGGTAGGTGCAAAACCTTTCATGTTTCTTTTCACATGATCAATTACTCATACAACAGCTTTATCCCCACAATTTTTCGATTAGCTAACTTAGAATAACCGTCAAATTGTCAACTATATCAGTTTCCCATTTCAAAAACCATGTTCTCGACCTAACTTTCTAATTCAGCTTGGGCTGTTGACTTGTGTTTAGTATTACTTGTCTGCAAGAATTAAATTGGTTTATATCGTTTTATTTTGTGAACTTTTTTTATTGATCTATATGTTATCTTATTTTGAAACTATTATTCTTATAATTTACTTTCAATCATTGCATCAACTACTATATAGCACTGTAATACCTTAATTTCATTTCAATTGGGCATGTCCCTATATATATTTACATTTGTCAACTTGCATCAACCAACTTGGTGGCCAACTTGCAAATTTATCTGGTTACCTTATTTTATTCACACTATTGAATATGTGCAACTTGACGGTTCTAGAATTCTTGAGTTTTCATATAGCCCAAATATATAAAATATTCAGTCCATCATAGCTATTAATTTCCACAAAATTAAAATAATGGCAGTCTGATAACCAAAGTTATTAGTTATATAATAGCTATAAAAAGTTGAAAATGTTATCATCATGTTAACGAATAAAGTAACTATTATGTCTATTATGCTCAACTGTCGTCTGATCACGCTTAGTAATGTCCCGTCTGCACAAATATTTGAAGGCTGCATTGAGACATCTGCAGAAAAAATTCAATGGCTCAAGAGATTTCAACCTAAGACTGATCAAAAGCCTCAAAGTGAAAGATTCGAATTTTGAAGACTGGATGAATCAAAACAGCAGATTTGAAAATTGAAAACAAGCAGTTGAGGAATCAAAATAGATTTGTGAGATTGAAAATATTTGGTTATACAAGATTCAACAAAGATGTTTCCTCCTCGGTATATACAAAACATTTTTTGCCAATATCCTTCAAATCCCGGGCAGTTCGACGTGGTGGTGAGTTGGTGATTTAAGCTGCAGGCTAAATGATCAATTTTCACTTGCTATCATCCAACCTGTGTTAGAAATCACATGTTAAAGGTAAGGCTTTGATTTTTACAATTGAACTCAGGTGAAAATGAGCCTTTTGCCAGATTTCATTCAACCACATTAAAATTTAATATATGTCCGACTCCTAGATCCTTATTTTTCTAATAAACCCCTCTCATTGAGTAGGTTGTCTCAATGGATTGTTATCTAACATTTTTCCTAACACCAACTCGACACTTTTTAATTTTTCGTAACGAGTAAGTTATATCTCTCATATTTCTTTAATTTGAGGTCATTACATAAAAAAAAATGAAAAGTTACAATGTATCTGCTGACTTCGTGTACAAAGATGTTCATTTTGGAATCATCTAACTTTGATGCATTTTAACCAACAAGCAATAGTATACTTCCAACTGTAGAGCAATTGTCATGATCGGGTCATGACAGCTATTCTTGAATTATAGTTAACAATGATATGATCATAGCACGATTTCTAGAATACAGATTTGAGTATTCCACAAATTTTAAGGAAAAAACGTCCTATGGACGTATGTCCTAAACGCCTTAACTTTTGAGATACAGGGGGCAAAGTTTTCAAAAATAATCAGTTTTTTAATAATAACTGAGATAATTTTGTAGACATCTTTGGCATATTTGGTACATATGTTCCATGCCTCAAGGCGCATTTTCTGATGTACACAAATTTGTATTTTTTCAAACAGTGGCATCCCTACGGGTTTCGCATTGAATATTTTTGGGGAAAAAGTACTACGCCAATGCTTTCTTTTCAAAATAAAATCATTTTTAAAATCCTCATTTATTTTTGAGAAAATTTGATCTCC